TCATTTCCCCCAAGTAAACGCTCGCGGCAGCGACTTTTCTGAAATCGTTCCCCCATTGCCTACAAGGATCCAAACAGAGCGGCAGCGACTAGGGCATACGGGAGTATGTATGTATATATATATATGTATGTGTGTGTACATACACGTATATATATATATACACACACACACACACATGTATCATTATCTTGGCTTGAACGGTTGTTTGAGCTTCTGCACCTGCTTGAGCTGGATTTTTTTCACAGGAGCATCACCCAGTAAACGAGCAGATCGCAAGGCTCTTTGTGGTCTGATGTGTGCAACTACATACATAGTACGACTCATGCTTCATCCCCCTTATCTTCGAAGCCGAAAATTTAGGATTCTCGACAGGGTCTGGAGACTCCATACACACACTTTAAGGGGCCTCGAGGCATTAGCAAACCATTAGGGGGCTAGGTAGGTTTGTTGTAAGACACCGCGCCTCAAACTGGGCGCGTGTCGGGCCTGTTTGGAGCTTTGGAAGGACCAAGCCCGTTTATGAAATCCCATAGGAATTAATCATAGTAAGACACGCAGACAGACATGCAGACATGCAGACTGACATGCAGACTGACATGCAGACTGACATGCAGACATGCAGACTGACATGCAGACAGACATGCAAACAAGCAAACAGACATGCAGACATGCAAACAGACATGTAAACATGCAAACAGACATGCAGGCATGCAGACAGACATGCAGACAAGCAAACATGCAAGCAAACATGCAAACAGACATGCAAACAGACATTCAAACATGCAAACAGACATGCAAATATGCAAACAGACATGCAAATATGCAAACAGACATGCAAATGTGAAAACAAACATGCAAATACGCAAACAGACAGACAGATATGCAAATATGCCGTGGTTGTAAAGAAGGGATTCTGGTTGTAAAGCGGGGATTCTCACATCGAAAACAGTGTCCGTGGTTGAAAAGTCGGGATTCTGATTGTAAAGTGGGGATTCTGGCAGTACGAGTAAAGGGGATTAATCTCGGGGTGGGTGGGGGGGGGGGGGGGGGGGGGG